TGCCTGTGCAGACGGCAGGGCTGCACGCCCAGCCGGCTGCAGGAGGCAAGTCACCAGCCGCCTGTCCACACAGACGCACTTCCGTCACAGCTGGCGGCCGGGGGAAGTCTCCGCCGCCGCCCTCGGACGCAGCGAGATCAGCCGAGATCCGCCGCCGAGATCTGCCGAGATCACCACCGCCGCCCTCGGACGCAGCGGCGGCGAGAGGGGCCGAGAGATGGCCGAGATGCGGCCGGGAGGCGAGAGGTGTGCGCCCGCCTTGGCCAGGAGAGGAGGGAGAGTTTCGACTATCCTCGGCTGCATCTCGGCTGCATCTCCGTTGCACCTCGGCTGCACCTCGGCTGCATCTCGGCTGCATCTCGGCTGCACCTCTGCTGCATCTCCGCTGCCTCTCGGCTGCCTCTCGGCTGCCTCTCGCCTTGACGAAGCAGTGGGACTCGAAGCCGTAGTCGTCGCAGATGCACCACTCGCTCACCTGGAGGGAGAGAAAAGAAATACTCGTGGGCGGAGAGAAAAGAAATTGTCGTCGCAGATGCACCACTCGCTCACCTGGAGGGAGAGAAAAGAAATACTCGTGGGCGGAGAGAAAAGAAATTGTCGTCGCAGATGCACCACTCGCTCACCTGGAGGGAGAGAAAAGAAATACTCGTGGGCGGAGAGAAAAGAAATTGTCGTCGCAGATGCACCACTCGCTCACCTGGAGGGAGAGAAAAGAAATACTCGTGGGCGGAGAGAAAAGAAATTGTCGTGCCAGATGCACCACTCGCTCACCTGGAGGGAGAGAAGAAGGCGGCGCTGACGCAGAGAGGGAGTTGAACAGCAGACAGGCGGGTGCACTAGAGCAGGCGGGTGCCACTCGGTCGACCGCAGATGGACGCAAGCAGGAGGAGGCGAGGGGGGGCGAGGGGAGGCGAGGGGAGGCGAGGGGGGGCGAGGGGAGGCGAGGGGAGGCGAGGGGAGGCGAGATTGTCCGAGATTGTCCGAGACCGTTGTCCGAGATTGCAGGATTGGCTTCTCGCGCACGCACCGCTTCGCCGGCCGAACGGTCGGTGTCCCGCTCGATCGTCCACGACGCGGCCGCCTGCGGTGTGAAGAGGGCACGACTGCGGCCACGCGGTGCCACGACTGCAGTCACGCTGTCCGGAGACTGCAGTCGCATCGCGGCGAGGCGACAAGATGGCGGTGGACTGGGTGCGGACGCCGTCGCGGGGAGTGGCGGGGAGCTAGCTGCGACCTACCAGCGCGCGGGGCGGCCTGTGTGCCACGTCTAGACTCGCTCACATGCCGGTAGCAAGGCACTCCGTCCCTCTCGCCGTCCCGCCGGTACGTCCCGTTGATGCTCTCGTTGCCGCACCCGCTCACTACAATCTCGGCCGCGCCGCTCGCCGCAGCCGCGGCCCGCCCGCCCGCCGAGCTGCAGCCCGCCCGACCGCGGATCATGTTGGCGAGAGAACTGCGGGCGTCGGCGGGTGCAGAGACGGTGGTGGCGGCCGCCGAGCGAGCCGCCGCCTTGGCCGCCGCCTCCTTCAGTGCCTGCTCCGCCGCGCGTGCCTCCTCCATGGCGAGGTAGCAGAGCGGATCGGGTCGGCCCGAGGTGCTCTCGGCGCTGAGGGTGTAGAGACTGCGCTGTCGGCGGGTGTCGCTCTTTGGCGCGTGAGACAGCCCTCGCGGGGAAAAGAATTGTACGTCGACAACGAAGGCGCTCTCAAAAGACCTTACTCCTCTCCTTAAAATCCCTGTGTGGTGGCGGCGTGCCGTTCTCCCATCCCTCCCTTGGGTTGTGTGTTTTCTTTCTTTTCAAAAGACCTTAAAATCCCTGTGTGGTGGCGGCGTGCCGTCCTCCCATCCCTCCCTTGGGTTGTCTGTTTCTTTCTTTCTTTCTTTCAAAAGAATTCCCGTTAAGATTCAATGTGGCAGGTAAAAATTACCACCGAACTCCCTCGCACACACTGGCAC